GGTCGGCTTGGCTTGGCTAGGCACGGGTAAATGATCCGTGGGTTGGCTTGGGTTGGGTATTTTGTGGGGGATGGTGGTCAGTTAGTGGGTACTGTGGTCCGGTTTTGTTCTCAACGAAGCCTGGGTACGAATGCCAAGACCCATGCAGGCCATTAAAACTCTTTCCACACCAGGTAAATTTGTCTTTATAGTAAGAGTCAACAAAAGAGAAACGACGAGAATAGGTCTTGAACTTAAAACCCCATAAACTGGCGTGATACTAACGGAGCTGTCAGCCCAGTACCTGTATCTAACCAAATTCCATCGTACCTTACAGCAAAAAGTTGTCTTGTTTCATAGTTTATGCAGTAAAGAAACACATCAGGCCCACGTTTATAGTGGAAAAGTTTTCCTCTTACTCTTTTTATATTATTTGCCTCCTCAGATTTGTACGTGAAGGGCTACTTGGTGGTGGGTGACCGCAAAGTCTCAAAAAAGAAAACCCACATCTGCAAATTTGCCAAGGAGCCGAGGTTCAACGAGGTTTTTATGTACAATACAAGCGTAACAGGCCTTGCGTTACAAGTAGGTAGATCTTATTCGACTTTCGAGGTCCCGTTTGACTTGTGACTTAGTAACTCATGGCAGTAAAGAAATACACTTAAAACTTGAAACGGCAGTCGACTACTCTAATTTGCCTTTGAGAAAGATTCTGCTAGGGTCGAAACATCAAGCCCTCCATATTTTGTGACTGCTCTACTCAGATTATTTTTTTTACTTGTAGAAGACTCTCATCCTTGAAGAAAAAGTAAACTGGAGAAACATTGTCTTGAATAATTTTTTTCACCAGATATCACTCTGGGCGGACGGAGGTCGGTTCGGCAGAAACACGCTACTGGGAGAAACCATGATATGGCTGGACAATGTCACCTTTATCGCGAACAATGAGACTGAGGCTTGGTACAAACTCTTGCTGGCCTCCAGTAAATCTCCCTCTAGTCCTTAACAACGGTGGTAGGGGCAAGGATCTTGTCACATGCGACTGTTGCTGTTGTGTTTATGAATAATGTTATGGATAGATTCAACATCATGTTCATAAAGTATGTTTGCACGGCGTGATTTTTCTCGAGGTACTGAAACTATGTTGGTATCGTTTGCGTTGAGAACGAGGTACTTCTCATCACGGCCATCTTGATCGTGTTCCCTGGCCTATATCTGAACAATGAATTTGTAGGTAGTGGTGCACCAGTCTTAGGGTGTAAAACCACAGCATTCTGCTCGGTAAACAGCAGATTTTTTAGTCTATAAACCGTGCCATCGCTTTTGGGCACAAAAGTATTTGCGTCCTTCAACGTTGTTTAAAGTCGGACATAAAATAAAGTCACAAGCGCTTCTGCTTCAGTACTGCAGCGATCTCCACGACGAGATATAGGGTCTACAGTCTGCAGGCGCATGGTAGCTAGACGATGCTAATGATTAGCCCATCCCCCTGCAGAATAACTGATCGGCTCCATGTTTTTTTTGCAAAGCCAGACTGCGTAAACATTTGAATAAACAAAACTACCATTACGCGCGCTTTAATTCCACTCCGAATGCTACAAAAACTACCGTCTGTTTCCTCTGGTAATGATAATGACTGCGGCAGTGTTTACGAGGACAGCGATGGTGATGACGGACACGCATGGCCGACGAACTCATCAAAATACCTTCCCCACTTGTAGAGACGAGTAATTACAGTAATGACCGAGTCACTTCATCCGCTGCGGCGTGCGTCGGAGCTGGCAGAACATCGACAAAGAATGTTCATCTCGCAAATGGATGTCAACGATGTTTGTAGAAAGCCGTACGAGAGGGCATGTGGTCGAGGCGTGGAGAACGTCTGACAATCAAAGGGTGATCTGTAAGCTTCCTTCGTTTTCCCTATACACCTCGGAGGAGTCGGTGTAATAAATCTAAATCCCTGCTAGGAATTTGTGCAGCTGTCTGCGCCCCCACAATAAAGAGTTCCTGTCCGGCTCGGCAAAATTTGGTTTTTAAAGGGGCTTTGTCTGCACTCTTGAGCTGTTAATTTTTTTCACTGCTTAAATTATTTGATCATTATTCAAACTTAATACACATGTAACTTACAAAATATTCATTCCATTATAAATTTTATCAAAACTCCCTGTGTGCATGACAGGCTTCCTTGATCACCTTTAAGCAGAACAACTTGTCCTTATACTTAAGGACGTTTTTAAAAAAAATTAATAACATTGCTGAAAACTAGTTTACTGTCACCTAAATGAAAATTATTAGGTAATTTCATATCGAGGAATATCAGATTGAATTCTTCAAGGTCAAAAATAAAGGGGCAATTTTAACTGCTTGGAAAAAGGAAACTTGCCAAGCGTATATTTTCGAAAGCTCGATTTCGGAACGATCAGAAGCTGCAGTTTTCAACTCCCGATTCGACTTTTCTGAATACACTTCCGAAAAAAAGGAACAGGTGCTTCATCTATGGCATGGTAACAGACACGATCGAAAGACGGACCAAGTAGATTGGATTTTTATCTCCCAGATTCTTAACTTATATCAGCTGCTGGACCATATCACTATAGTTACTTCGTCCTAAATGTAAATTAACGTTGTTTTTTCATAGATTTTAAGATCGCGGCAAGAGCCGTTCAGAAATATGAATACGGAGGCGGATTAAGCCTACTGGTGAGAGGTTGTCAAGCGCAATGTCTGAAGGGATGATTTCAGACGCTGTCGCAAATATCTCGCCGTAGTGCCAGGACAGCGGTGTAATTACTTTAACTGGGTGAATTTTTAACGAGCCAACTTTTGCCTCATGCGTCGTTGAAAACTAAATTTACCTTGACCCTTTCAAAATGAATGCGTCCTTGGTGGCCGAAAGATGGTTTGCAGGGTTGCTACTGGTAACAAACGCTCCGTATCCCCATCATATATTGGCACTACAGGAAGCCCCAACGGCCACCAATACTGCGCGACCAGAAATTACCTTTTAATACTGGAACACTAAAGAAATTCTTGTACTAAAGTCTGCTTGAAATGGATCGGTGGCAATTAGCACAAGAGCGGCCATGATTAATCACTTTTGTCTTCGGATCTCGTTAGCCATAGCACTGTGCCACACCAGGGGATGTACCGGTTCGTAAATACACAGAAGAAATTCTACCGCATTTTCCTCACAAGAGGTCCTTTAAAAAATGGTTGGCACCCAAATTTCACTCTCAAATGAAACTAATCGCGACAATTCTTTTTACAAAACCTGTTATAGGCCTAATTCATATTATTTCGTTAAAGTATTTCCGACAATTTGTACAAAAACACTAAAAGTGAAATTCTACACCCAATAACTGATACAATATCTCTATATGCACTTGTATATCAAACAATATCTATCTGTACATTTCCTTTGTCGTATAGTACGTGTAAAATTTTTGAGATAATACAATTTTTGCTTTCCCAAACATGTACAGGGTGTTGCATATCAGTCATGTAAAGAAAAAATCCAATTTAATGTTGTGACCTTTTCTTTAATATCATGGGTGAATTATGTTGTGAAAACACTGTTAACTGCACATCGCCGTAGGTATACTCTGATGTATTGTTGCTTATCGATTAACAGGAATTTTTAAAAGAGGTTTTGGTCTTGTGTAGTAGAAATAGTTACAGCTGTCCTTTTGCTGGGCAAATCATTAAGTTTTACAAGACAAAAATCAGCTCTGCAAAACTGCGCATTTTGCCTTTAACAAAGAGAGCAGTGCTTTGCTTTCCTTTGAGTGTTATCTCTTAGTTTATTTGTTAATGAAAAACGATTGCCATGGTAACAAGGGTCCAGATTTTTCAGTTCCCTTGAGGATGTAGATTTCTATACTATTATGTCATGTTTGTCGTGTTTTCTACTTTTGTATTTCACTCTGCAAGTTTCAAGAAATAAGGGTGAGCGCATTTTGAAAAGGGGATATACTTTCTTAAATTGAGGTAAAAACATTAAGCGAAAAAAGTACCTGATCCCAAATTCCAAAACCGTGTGCTCCAGTAGAATAAAACCCAATGAAAATAACATTTTCGATCTTTAGCTATGCCCCGTGGTCTAATTTGGGTCCTCTTGCGGCCGCCAGAGGCGCCTGTACATGTCCTCAGCTCTACAACGTTGCGGCTGCGGGCCCTTTTCGATTCGGCCCTGCAGCAGTACGGATGGTAAACCCGCCAATAAAATAAAAACAGTAAACATTCAAACAATTAAAAAAGTGGAATATTCACGAAAAAATTCCGACGTTGGTTTGCTCATGAGACGGTTGGTTGATGAGGTCTAAATTGAACAAATGACGTCAAGCAAACGCATCTTCACCAGCTGTTATAGCATTCAGTAATGTATTCGTATCGATCCTGATGATTTTGAACTTATACCAGTTTAGTCGCTTCATGCATTTCGTATCAAATTGGAGCATTGCCAAGCTGGAATTTTCGACTGTAAATGTCTCAACAGGCGTATGTAATGCACCGTTTAAACGTGCTCATGTAAAGCAACGTTTTCACGGATAGCCGTTTCAGGTGTTTCAAATTTAACGTGTTGAAAAAAATGGCTCACCTAAGTGGCTTTGTGAAAAATCTTAACTGAAGTCCTTTGCTTGCACGGTCAAACCTCCGGCATAGGCTGTTTCAATATGCACGTTGGCCTTTAAAATTCATCCAAGAGCTAATAAAAATGAATAATGAAGTACAATGTGTATTTTGTCGACATGTTCGACCTACGAATATCTTGATCAGTACGAAATTGTCTCTCATACGTGTCGCCCCTCTCCTCTTGAGTCCTTGTCACGCACGCATGTGTGAAGTCGCACAACAGCACGACATCAGGGCAGTATCTCGGCCGTGAAACGGCACACTTTCCTGTCGGAGTGATGAGATTTTCTATATAGTGAGAAAAGGACATTGTAGCGTTAGAAATAGGGTGTCCTTCCCGGGTGTGACATATTTTAGATGGTTAGACAAGTTGCATTGACTGTATTGGGCATGTCCCTACATGAGGCCTGTTGCCAAACTTTCGCAAGACATATGGCTGGCCTTTGCAAGCGAGCAAATTATGAAACAACTGGTGAAATACGTTCTCTTTTAATTTGCCAACCGACTATTCAAATGCCCAGGTTTTATAAAGAGTATCTCGTTTTTTTCCAATTTAGACTAATGCCTGGAATCCAGATTTTGACACAAACATAATGCGTGAGGGCTTGTGCAAAATGAAAATATAGCGATGGTCCTGACTGTCTCGTCACCTGTTTTATAACACATGCGTGGACTATCAGCCGGTGTAATTTAGGAAGGTTTAAGTCGAACCAAGATACAGGGCCTGTTTAAGTTGTTTCGCACGGATTTGGATCTCTATCAGTGATCCTGAAGCTGGTTCACCTCACCCATTAAGCGAGTTTTGGTGTCCGTAAACCAAGGATGGATCACTGATCGTAATCCAAATCCGTGTGAAAGAAACACGGCCACAGCTTAACTGTCAATAATTCCATATTATAGATACATCCTTATTTTAAATCATTTCATAACCATCTGAAGAATATAGGCCCCGTCCTGAACCTAAACACATTTGTATGATGGCACTTTATCTAATTTGTTTAGTTTCGGGGACGCTGATTCGGGCAAATCTATGCATGTTTGACAATTTAACTGAACCAGTATCTCTGCTTTTAATTTTCAAGGTGGTGCTTCTACAGGTGCAAACATTTTCTTATCTCTAACTTAAAATGAGAACTGCTTTGTACAAAGTGTCAAGTCATGTAATATACCTTTCCATTGCCGAGAATCGGTTTGGGTGAATAGTAGTTTGCCCTGTACTTAGGTCATGATAGCGATGCGTTTCCACCATTAAAGGAGTGTTCTTACTGTGTAGATAAAGTATGCATAACTTTTAAATACGTTCTCTGTACACATGTACATGTATGATCATCATCCAGTAGCCGAATTAGCAATATAGTCACGATTACTGAATACTTAAATGATTAAACTGTACAAGAGTCCACTTCAGAAGAAAATGTTTTTATCACTGAACGTGCAATAAACATCTTGTGCCATTGTGTTACTGTTTATCAATCCTGTCCTTTTATTTTTTTTTCCTTTGATTTTGAATGCTTTGGAAATAAAATTATCCTGTCTGTGAGACGCAGGGTGCTGTCTGTCCTTGAACATAAAAACCCAACAGGTTGACCAGGTTGATTCGCTGGAATGCACACTTTCGTCCTCCAACACCCCTCAAAATCCGACCTTCCTGTATAAAGTACATTGTGTTTATGTACTATTCAATGCCCCTTACCAATTATCTTATTGCTGTCCATGAAGTAGGAGTTTGGAATGTTGAAAACTTGCATAATCACAAAGATACAGGACTGAACTGCTAAAGGTAAAAAATATTCAGGGTTACACCGAATTTTCAGGCAACTGGTGTGCACTGTGTGCGTTGGTTGATGTAACGGGTGGTGGTTGAGTCTAAGGGTTGCCCTACGGGGGAGTCCGGGCATGTCCCTTCTAAGGGAATTCGACATATTATGTATTCAGGAACTCCAGCCATCACATTTATTTATTTATTTATTTATTTATTTATTTCCGGCCCCCATTTTCACTACATCGAAACTATGTGCCTCGAGTAGAATCACTCCCTCATCGGTAGAAAAGAGCCGCATTGATCCTGAGTGTTAAACTTGCGGATAGCAATACGATCGTGACGCGTACATTTCGTAGTCTTTCGTGAACCAGCGAAATTCAGTTCCGATCAAAGGAGCCTTCGTTGCTCAGAAAATACCGCCTTCTCTTGGTCAAGGTCGAGGCCCATAGTAAACAGCTGAACGAGGGGGCTACACCCCTGGGCCCGTTCCTTTCCTCATAACAAAATGGCCTATCATTTTGAATCCATGCAAAAGGACAAGAGCAATGGAAGCTAATAAACACACAACCAGGAATAAAATATATAGGTACATGTATTTGACTCGAGATATTTTAATGAATCTGAACATTCAAAATGTAATCCAAAACAACTGGATGTCAGTACTTTATTACAGACCAGTTTCGATAATTTTTTCCATACTAATTATCAAACTGGATCCTTTGTGCAACATACATGTGTACATGCAAGCTTATTATTGTAGCCATCAAATCATGCTGATTGCTCTTAAGTATTAACCAAAAACTTATATTTTCAATTAAAAAGTGCATTTGTTCTTACATTTCAATAATGAAAAATGTCACATAAACTATTACGTAAAGTAACAAAATTACGAGAAAAACGCCCTGCCAATGGCCGGGTTCAAGCGCAAGATACCCACTTTTCACGTTTCTCATACAGCACACAATGCATGTACACATAGGTCTGTCTGGTTCAAGAAAGACCTTATGAATAAAATATCTGATTACCTACAGCCTTGGAATAAGTCGATCTTAAAGTCTAAAAGCCAAGAATTTAGCTAATCGTCCGAAATATTCCATTGTAGAATACAAGGTGCGTTTCCACTCCTAAGCACTGAACAGGACGAGAGTCGCAAACTCTCATTGGGAACAAAGAATGCGAAGATCTACATTTTAAAGTATGATAGCCTGTTTTCTATGCTTTGTGATGCTAGAATGTAAATAGTGTTCTTGAAAAAAAGGCTGGAGACTTAGTCTTTGCGTATCCGCTCCATACAGGGACAAGAGAGGGAGTATTCTTATATAGCAACACAGCCCTTACGCAGGAACTGACCGAGATCAGTGTTGCCACTGTTAGCGTTTTTACACTAGATCTGGGGGTTTTGGCCGATTTGGGGTTCTAGTTTCCGTTTTTCTAAAAAAGACCCAAATCTTGGGGTTTTTTTTAAACATCAGGCCTTATATTTTTTAAGTGAAATAGGTATTTCAACATTTATATTTATACTCAACAAATATATTTCAACTTTTTGCAACTTATCACGATACCATCCACAAAAAATCAGACAGGGAAACCAGTTTAGCACAGCGAACTGCAGTGCTAGTAATGCCATCGATACCATGTGGCAAGTTCAGGCATGGCATTGCACAACCCTGGGAGTCCACGTTTGTTTTGTGTATTACATGTAGGCTCGTCGAGGCCTCCAGTGTATCAAGCAAAGCGTAACCTGCATTTTATTGTACAAAGATCGTATACGCCACGCTTCACGATCTTTGGTACTGTATACTTCAACCATTCAACCTCCTTGTGCTGCCACACTCGTCAGCTTATGCAGAGAGAATTTTCTCCCAAGTGAATATGATTAAAACACCACCGACAAACAGGTTTCATGCGTCCACAGTAGCCAACAGACTGCTGGCTGGTCAAGCAATTTCCCGCCAAGGACAAGAGTGCCACACCTGGGGAGCCATCAAGCCTTCTTGAACAAGATCAACGATCGGGAAATTGCCGTAAAAGATACATGTACACCAGCACAAGCAGCGGCAGCATCAGGAAGAGAAAACCATACACGTGTATGATGTTGTCTAATGGTATGTATGCAAACTTATGCAAGTTTTACAGTCTAGCGTTTTCTGGGGGTTTTCCAAGGCAAAATCTGGTTTTTTTTTTCTGATTTTGTGAGTGGTAATGCTGACCGAGATTGATGCTTGCTTGTCTTCATATGAAGCAAGATATGGGATGGAGAGCACCCCCACCTTTGTGTTGGTCATTGGTTGATCGGAATCCCAGGAATTAGACATGGGGTTGTGTTAGATATAGTCTAGAGCATTTATAGGGATTGGATATGTTTAGGGGGCTACCACTCCGTCCCATTTCTTGCTGGGTAGAATAGTCTTGGGATAGACTTTGAGACTCTGGTGGCAGTAGACATACCAATCTTTGTCAGAGTCTTGCATGTGCTTTCGCTCGTCGCTCCGGCCTTGGGAAGACTGATGGCCTTGCACAGATTTCAGTGAAGGAAAAACGTCACACAGGGTCACAGGTAACAACGCGCAGAGCATTGTTGGTAAATATTCTCAGGGGCTCGAGCTTGCTCAGTGTGGTGGTTATCAATTCGATATTTTTTCTTCCTCATTGTTGAAAATATTCCCACTACACCTTAATTAATCCAAACTTGATCAAGATAACCAATGATTTGAAATGTATCGCCAAAAGACACGTACAGTAGTCAATTATACCTAGAAGATGAATTGGGCTACCGTGATTGTACCAAGGCCATGTTTTTATCCGATAGGCCGACACTTTGACCTATGGTTAACCAATACTTAAAATGACACTTCACTAACAGGAAGTGATAACCTCACGGTTGGAGGTCGTGCACAAAACAGCCAATCACAGTGCAAAGCCATCACCCCCCCACGCTGTTTGGGCACTAGGTGGTGAGCGAAGTATGTGCTCAGTAGGTCAGTAGGTGGCGTACCTGCAGTTATGCAATTGTCTCTCTCAAGCCCAAACCAAATTAGTAATTAGAAATTTCTCTCTCAATGTTTCGATTTTTACTCATCGTTGCAACCATGGAAGAGAGATTGCAACAGACAACAAGCAGCTCCCATGAGTGTTCCGTTCACCGAAGTTCGTTTGAAAGTTTCATGGACAGTTGAATCAAGGAGAAACAGACTCTTCATCTGAAAATGAAAGGCATATATCAAAAGGCGAAGAGAATGTCAAGAGGATGAGAATAGAAAACACTGAAACCGCCTTGGAGGGAGAAAATCAGAAAAATCAACAGTGCCGCGAAATAGTGATTACAAGTGTCCCAAAACTGCACTGGAGAGGTCAGCTACCCAATGCAACAAAATTCATTTCTTTATCAGGTAAGACCCTAAGTCCTCTCATGCAAAATGATAAGGGCCGGCATCGGATATGTATAAAGGCTTACTTTTACATGTGTATAAATACCAGTGTTTGCATTTAGCCTACATGCCCCTTCTACAAAATTCATGTCTTTATCAGGTAAGACCTTAAGTTCTCTCATGCAAAATAATAAGGGGCGGCATCGGATATTTATAAAGGCTTACTTTTACATGTGTATAAATACCAATGTTTGCATTTAGCTTACATGCCCCTTCTGCAGATATCATTTGGCCTTTGTGCTCTTGCTACTAGCCGTGGTACATGTATTTGCTTCACTCAAGGCCAAAACGACCTTGCCCTACAAATTGACCAAGTTCAAGGTCTGATGTAGGGTGTGTACACAATACACGCTGTACATAGCTGAGTGTATCAGCAGAATCAAGAATGAAAATGATTCCAATGACATAAAAGTTCTGGTTAGTATGGTATTTTGCTTTTGTATAAGCACGGTACGGACACGAGGAGTTGAAGAAAGAAATGGAGAAAGATGGGTACCTAGTTTTTAGACACTCAGTCCAAAGGGCCTGGCCCAATGGCAAAACGATGTACTTGTAAATCAGAGAAATTACACAGACGAACTGACATTGGAAGATGGTGTATTATTCATGCAAGGACAATGGTGTCATCATTTCAGAATCATTGATTTTGATTAAAAAAATCCACCAGAACTACCAAGGCGGTGAAAAATCTGGTGAAAGACTGGCGTGATAGAAATGTCACAGTGGCACTTCCATGTGCTTATGTTGTGATGATTTCACTAAACCAACTGCATGGACGAATGTAATGTGAGTAAAATGATAATTGGGTTGTGCTTGTCTATGTAAACGAGCCTTAGGCTAAATCTTGGTAACATTACATTTTATCTGTCATCGAAGGTGTCTTAGGGATCCATGATAATCAAGTTCCCTGAGGTGCATTTACAAAGGGGTAATTAATCAAGAAGGAAGTACAGCCAGGGATATATTAAACAAATTCGGAGCATGAAGGAGTGGAAGGTCGGCAGATATCCTGTCAGCAATGTGGAAAGAATCCATTCATAAAATGTGAATGAGTGACATGAAAAGCTGGAACATGATCTGGAGCTGGAAGCAAAGGGAAAAGAAGTTCTTGAAGTTGAACTAAAAATGGCCAATGCCAGAGAAACGTCCTTGATACAGTCAGATAATGGGCAAAGCAGTGCGTACACAAAGCTGTTTAAATATACCAAAGTATAAGAAACTGCCCAAGGAGCTACAAAGTAACAATGTGGGAAATTGTTTTGTTGGCATCAGGTGAGGAGAAGTTAGAAATTTGCTATAAATTTGCAAACAAAGGTTACAAACCTCAACGACTTTGAGTTGGGGACATACATACAAAATCATAGTTGACTTCTTGGCAATGTAGAAATGTCATTTTTCTGATGAAAAACTCAAAATCTAATCTATGGCTAATCCTCTAAACAATAACAATCATTGCTGAAGCAGTTGGTAAAGTATGAGTCTATGCGATATAGTTGGTAAAGTTGAGTATATGTTGATTGGAGATACAACATAGTAAGTACATGTAGTAACATGGAAAAATGTGGTGTTCATGAATGTTTCCCAAGTTAAGAGTCGGATTTCAGCTGAGACCTTTGCCTTTATCATAAATTTAAATAGTTTTGAAGTTGAAACCAATTATGTGCAGTTTATTGACACATTTTCTTTTTTCTTACCCTCTTGCTTGAAACATTTCAAATACATGTACAATGTATGTTTAACAAAAACCGGAGCCTGCTGTAAATGTAGTGGAGTAGAATCCAAGGATTTGTCAGTCATTAACAGACAATGATTGCAATGTAGGAAAAACAAACTCCTGCAAAAAAAAGAAATCGATGGAAAAGGCTCGAAACTGCTGCCGTGAAATGGCTAGAACAACAGGCAGCAAAGCAAGCAGAAATTCAGAGAACGGAAGATGAACAATTGCTACATGTGCAAAATTACAAGACGGGAAGAATTGATAGGCTTCTACATAAATTACAGCGTAAGGGAAATCAGTAAACATCTCAGTGAAAATCCAAGACTATTCGCTTTGAATTAGAAATATTTATTGGTTGGGGAGTTCATTTCACGTATGAATTAAGTGTTTGTTTTTCATACAGTAATTTATTCAAATTTTTTTTGTAAAAGCCAAAGGAAAGCATATATTTGTCTCATTTGAACATTTGTTGATGGTGAAAGGTATTCGATTCCATACTGTTTTAAATTAAAATAAAGAACCTTGAAAACAAATTCGGTTTGAATGGAGATACTGGAGTTTTACAAGAATGATCACAAAGCTTTGTACACGGAGCTGGAGATATCAGTTTGTCTCATTAAGGTTTCTTTTTTCAAATAATTCCAGTTGTAATTCAAGTTTTCAGAACTGGATATATCTCAGGCTAAAATTTTGAAGCATACATGTACATTGTATAGAGGCCTGAGAAATCCCCCACCCATTTTAACTTTTGGAACAGTCCAACAACTCAGTACTAGTACCTGCAGAACATGTGATCCTGTGTGGTAATTCCCGAAAAAGACCATACCGAGAGAGTAACATAAACATCCTCTCCCTGTTGCAAGTGTAACAATACGGGCGATTCACAATAGTGCACCCCCAAATTCTAGGGTGCCATTTTTCCGTGCTACTTTTTTTCATTTCTTTTGGTGGAGAATACGGGTAGGGAGCATTTTCCATTGGAATTTAGCCAGGTGTTTTGGTGTGAAGAGGCAGTTGTTTTTTTTCACTAGGGTAAGCCAACACAGTGTTTTAGGTTGGGAAGCTTTGCATTACCAATGGCCGAGACACCAACGATGTCGGTGCCCATGTCTATTGCACCAAGCACCTCTCCACAACTAACACTATACCCCTACGGAGAGGGTCCAATTCTCCATCAATCACCTGCAGTGAAGGGAAAGACTGACTACCAGCCCCAGCATTTCATGGCAGCCCCTCAGCCAGTAGCTGCCTCCCCACTCCATCTTGCCGATTTTGACCCCATCCCGATTAAGACTGATGATGGCTACCAGCGACCAAGTCAACAGTCAAGAATGCTGACAACACACCAGGTGAAGGGTGTAACCACATTCACTGGCAAGGAGAAGCATGGCCCCAGATTGGAGGACAAGATCCGGGACATCTGGTTCCTGCTTGAATGTAAAGGAACAGCCCCAGGAACCCTCCAGTTTCATGAGGTTGTGAGACACACTGGAAGAAAGGCGAGAGAAGTGCTACTCAATCTTGAGGGGAGGACACCAGAGGGCTTAGATGCCGATAAAGCCTTTTCTGAGCTCCTTGAAGAATATGGTGAGGATAGGAGTGCTATGTCCCCCTTGGCAAAATTCTACTCCAGAGTGCAACGTGAGAATGAGACGCCAAGCGAGTTTGCCATTTCACTGGAGGCCACACTTTGGGAAGTTGAGGAGATGAGGCGACGCCGAGGCCAGAGTTGCATCGAGGAAGAGAGCACAGACAAGACTTTGGCCACTCAGTTTATGTGCGGGTTGAAAGACCTTCATTACAAGCAGCGATTGGCCCCTATGCAACCAAGATCCATGACTTTTCGTGACATTCGCCAGGAGTTGCACATCATTGCCGAAGAGGAGCGACAGGCAGAGGAAATCTGCAGATGGCGCACTCCCCTTTACACCATGGGTGAGCTTGCCCAGAGTTTGCCTCAACAGAAGACCGAGGGGAGGCCCCAGAAACAGTCACCAGTAGTGAAAGAGACCACTTCTCCCCACCAAGTGATGCTATCACCCCTACTTTTCAGCAACTCCTGTCCAAACAGATGGAAGAGATGAAGGCAGTGTGTCAGGAACAGGTTGCAGCGATGGGCCGACTTCTAAATGCCCAGCAGCAACACGAACAACGGCTGATGCATCTCAAAGCAGTCATGTTCCCTCCGCAAGTAGGCCACATCAGAAGGCTCCATACACAGGATGCTTCAACTGTGGAGGCATGAGGCACCTCGCCAGGAATTGCCCCGAGGACCGTTGAGTGCCCCCTCAAGCCAAATGCGTGGCACAGAATGACCAACAGGCCCGAGTCCAAGCCCAAACCGTCCATTCCCACCAGCTCAAGCCCAGACAAAGGAGGTCCCATTAAACAAGCAGAGCCTGCAGATATAGGGCGGTCAGCAGGTTCATCGAGCAAATGCCCACCTAGTCAAACCTGTCTGGCCCCCGATCATCCAGACAAAGTCCAAACAGTGGCTGACCATCATGTAGGAGGAGAGGCTATAATCCCTTTCCCTGGAGCCGTTAACTCTGCAGAAGTTAAGGTCTCTAGAGTTTTCACTACGTCTCTGCTGGACACTCGCTCCCAGGTTACTACCATAATAGATGAGTACATAAAGAGGCACCCAACCCTGAGCCAACAACCCCTTCGCCCTGCCGATGTGTCCATAAGTGGAGCCGGAGGACAGGTTGTTCCTCATCGTGGTGTTATTGAGGTGGACCTTGAGGCATTGGGTCAACACATTTGTAAAGTACCAGCATTTGTTGTTCCAGTAACCCCTTTGAGACGTGAAACCCCAGTTCTTATTGGCACCAATGTAATCAGAGCTAGTCGAGACAAGATGAAATGGACCCATGGGCGGCGCTTCATGGAGAAGAGTCAGAGGTTATCCCAGTCTTAGTTTGAAGCTTTTTGATTCGTAAATGCAGATGGCGCTGACATTGCTCATGCAGATGGAGAAATTGGACATTTGCGGTTTAATAGGAAGCATCCACTGGAGATTCGACAGAGGACAGAGGTTTCTTTCTTGGCTCAAGCCCCACGTGTTACAAGGGAAAGGAAGTTTACTGCCTTGGTGGATGGAAAGGATGGGCAACTAGCAGTTGGTCGACTGTTGGTGGAAGTGACTGGTGGTAAGGTGCCTGTCAAGCTCCTGAACACCTCAAGTGAAGTGGTGACCATCCGGCATAATATGAAAGTCGCCACACTGTCATGCATCACAGCTGTCTGTGAGGTGACCTCAGAACAGAAAGTTCTCTCTGGACAGGAAATACCGGATGTAGACTTATCTGAGGCAGCTTTGTCCTCAGCTGAAAGGAAAGCTGTGGAGGAACTGCTTGCCTGAAACAATGATGTGTTTTCCACTAACTCCTTTGATGTGGGTTGCACCTCGATGGTGCTGCACGAGATACCCCTTGTTGATTCACGCCCTTTTCGACGAATTCCACCCTCCCAATTTCCAAAGGCGCGGGAACACATCAAAGAGTTGAAGGCCAATGGCATTATAAAGCCAAGTCAGAGCCCATTCGCCTCACCGATTGTTATAGCACGAAAAAAGGATGGTCGCATAGGTCTCTGTGTTGATTACCAACAGCTGAATGCGAGAACTGTCCGTGATGTTCATCCCCTTAGCCGAATAGATGAATTCCTTGATGCACTGGGTAATGCTAAGTACTTCTCTTGCCTAAACCTGACCTCAGGCTACCTACAGGTGCAGATGGCAGAGCAAGACCGCCAGAAGACAGCTTTCACCACTCCGATGGGGCTCTTCGAATACACACGCATGCAGTTTGGTTTGACTAATACACCGGCAGCCTTCCAACGGTTGATGACCATAGTCTTTGGGGACCTCAACTACTCTCAAGTCCTGATTTACTTGGATGACTCAAGCCCTCTAAGTGCCATCTGTTCCACACGGAGGTCAGTTACCTTGGGCATGTGATATCCGAGACAGGAATTTGAACCGATCCAGCAAAGCCTGAGGCAGTTAAGCGATGGCCAACCCCTACGAACAAGAAGGATGTCCGGTCTTTCTTGGGCTTCACTGGATACTATAGGAGATTTATCAGGAGTTACACCCAAATAGCCAAGCCATTGTTTGGGTTGGTAGGTGGAAAGCAAAGTGTCAGAGATGGGCCATTCGTATGGAGTGCAGATTGCCAGGCTGCATTCAAAACACTCATTGAGAAGGTGACGACAGCACCCATCCTTGCTTTCACCGACTACCAACAGCCGTTCTTTGTTCAGACCAATGCTTCAGGTGATGACCTCGGAGCCGTGTTGGTGCAGAAAGAAGATGGCAAATAAAGGGTGATTGCCTTCGCTAGTCGGACCCTAACTGCGGCAGAGTCGAAGAATCCAGCCCACAAGCTGGAATTTCGGGCACTTCATTGGGCAATGACGATGAAATTCCACGAGTATTTGTATGGGCAGAAGGCTACGGCTATCACGGATAACAATCTGTTGATCTACATCATGAAAAAGGCCAAGCTTGATGCTCATAGCTAGCGGTGGGTCAGTGACTTCTCTGTGTTCGACCTGGACATTGTGTTTCGGCGGGGAGAGCTAACACCAACGCTGATGCTCTGTCAAGAATTCCCAGGGAGAAGGTTAACCAGATCCTTGATGAGACGAATCAGAGAATGTCTGTCCCTAGAAAAGCTTAAGGTGACTCTGTAATGAGTGCCTATCTCACTGGAGATACCAAAGTGA